AACCAATCCTAACTTGGGCCGGTTTGGGGTGGGTCCACGGGTCCTTGGTTTTTTTTTTTTTTTTTTTGTTATATATATATATATATATTAAAACAAAAAAACAAAAACCAAAAAAGGTAACATTTGCACATATTCAAATTCCGTCCTAGCCCTAGCAGATTCACTCATTCACATTTGCACAGATTTGCACAGATTCAAATTCATTCCCAGGCCCCAGCAGGTTCACATTTGCACAGATTGAAATCCAAATACAAAGTCCAACATCGTTCGATACATTAAATCCAAAAAAAAAAAAAAAGACGAAATGGCAATGCTAAAGCTAATACTCCAGTATTACCCTGGATGTACCACAATGAATTGTATCACTCCTGCTCCATATAATTTTAATATTTTACTCTAAAATTAATCTCATAAGAAATGGCAATGCTAATACCACTTAGGAGTTTATCTTACATGCCTGGTAATGGTATCACTCTGAAGGAAGTCCACCAAGGACTCTTCCACTAAGAGAATAAACAACCATTGCCAAGGTACCTTGAAAGTTGAAACAGCCGCTGCTACACCTGTAGCTACGAGCCTACGAGTATACAACCAACAATGAATAATCTGATATGATTGAGTGTGTTTGTTTTCCCCAAGAAAAGGGCAGAAAAACTCAGCTGCCACACCAAAAACGTCTACACAAAGTGGATACAGAGTAAAAGCTGAGAAGAGGAATTTCCATGAAATCAAAACGCAAGGAGACTACTTGAATCAAAACGATGGCCATAAGTTTGAAAAACGCAGGGAGACTACATGAATCAAAACTAGAAGAATAAAAATATAAAAAAAATTAAAAAAAAACTAGAAAATCCCTCCCCCCCCCCCCCCCCAAATCTGAAAAACGCACGCAGTTCTTGTTCTTGATCAAATTCCAATTACATTCAAAATTGCCTACTCAGATTGAAATCCCGATCCTAATCCCAATCCCAAATTTCAATCAATAACCAAACACTCCAAATCCCAACACAAATCCAAAATCTCAAATCCCAAATCCCACTCCCATCCAAACATATCCACAATTTCTTCACCCAAATGTTCATGCATTCATCAAATTACTCCCACCTAAAGATTTAGTCTCTAATCAATCATATTATTCATGCTACTGATCATCCGTATCAACAAAAATAAAATTTGGAGAAGTAGATAGTAGCCGGCTAAGTAACGGATGTCGTCGAGGTCGGAGGATGGTTCGATGGGTGGTGGTGGTGTCGTTGTGTTGGTCGCGGTGGCGGTGATGGGCGTTCTCTGGGATGTCGTTGGAGTCGAGGGAGTGACAGTGGAAAGGTGGGCGTGGGAGTGAGTGAGAGAGTGAGACTGAAACTGAAACTAATTTGGAAACCTAGGTTACAAATTAACGGTTCAGATTGGATGATAGGTTATCATTTAATATCGACCGTTGATTATAATTAGAAATGGGTCGGTCCGGGGCCTCATTTTTCTAAGGTTTAGGAACCGGGCCGCCCTATAAATAACCATGGCCTCGTCTGCCCGGCCCCGTTTGTTCCCAAAAAAATAGGACTTGGCCCGTACCCGCCCAAAACCTACATTACCTTCCCTGACCCCCGGTTCCTCTACCCGTTTGCCCACCCCTAGGTGGAATCGTTGGTATAGCTAATCAAGTATTCGTTTTTGCCATTGTCGTCATCAGGTTGCAAACGATGCGTAGAAAGTAGAAACAAAGAGCGTGTCTTTGTTTAAACTTGAACCCGACTAAATTATACAAAAGTTTTGAGGCATATAAGTTAGCGGGTATGAGGTGTATAAAATAAATAGAGTCGAATTAATTTAACCGACGCCTATTTAATACACATGAGTGTTAACACCAATTCGTATTGAATAGTTCTATCCAGTATTGAATACGGAGTGCAAAATGTAGCTTACATGTTATAAACTTATAATATGAATGGACACTTGTGTATTGCCTTGAGGCTTGTGTTCTGGTACACCGAAAAGTCTCACTTGTGTGAATTTTTTTTTTGGAAATTAACTAAAAAGAAGTGAAATATATACAATAGCGAAGGGTAAAATAGTAACCCCAGCACTTAAACCCTAGTACATTAAACACTTGTACCCTGCGCCGATTTATTATCTTCTCCAACCTCTCTCACCCTCGTCTGAAACTCCAGCCTCCAGGTCAGTGTCATGGAATCTGCTACTTACTATGAACTTATTAATTTTTATTATTATTAATGCTTCGTTATGTTATTGTTTTATTGAGAATTAAGCCCCGTAATTAATTAATTTGTTCAAAATTTGGAAGATTTGAGGCAGGCATTGTCAAATAGTCTTCAAATTTCTGTAATCTCATCTGCTGGATGAAGGTGTTTTAATCAACTAGGGTTTGGAGCATTGAGATTTTCTAACTTTTGTAGCTTGAATTGCGGTTATACAGAAACCATGGCCGCTGCGGATGTTGCTGCTCCTGTATTGGAACCAACGCTGGCGCACTATGACGTGAAGCTCTTCAACCGCTGGAGCTTCGATGATGTCCAGGTTTCTGGATTTTTCGCTTAAATTTCGTACCTTTGTTTTCCATAATCTATGATGAATTTGACGAATATGGTTGAGTTTCGTAACAACAAGTTTAGCTGGACTGTTATTATTGATCGCGTATATTTAGAGGTACATTAGGTTTGTTGTCGAATGTCGATATACTCTGTGATATTAGATAATTCTTCAGAGTGAACCGATGGTTGGTTAACCATGGAGGATCTGTGTTTGTTGTGCATTTCCTTGTTGGTTGTTCTCTTGCTTTTTAGAAATTTTAGACATCTGTGTGCCCTCCTTGCTATCGATTAATTGGTAATCATGTGTCAAATTGTTTTTGTTTAAATGTTGACTAGATCTTTTGTTATGTATATGATGAATTTCATTTTTTTCGAACATCTGACGTCTGCTAATTATAATGTGAATTGCGACTTGTAGGTCAGTGACATTTCACTGGCGGATTATGTTGGAGTTGCACCTTCCAAGCATGCAACTTATGTACCTCACACTGCTGGGAGATACTCGGTCAAGCGATTCAGGAAAGCTCAGTGCCCTATTGTGGAGAGGCTTACTAACTCACTCATGATGCACGGCAGAAACAATGGAAAGAAACTCATGGCTGTCAGGATTGTTAGGCACGCGATGGAAATTATTCATTTGCTAACTGATCTGAACCCAATCCAAGTTATTGTTGATGCTGTTGTTAACAGGTACACACACAATCTTCCTCATAGTAATGATTGACCTCTGCTTTGTCCCTTGTTTGATGCTTAAGGAGAAGCTCATGTGCCCCTTAGTATAGTTTTCCTGATTACATGTTGATTTTTATCTGTTGGGATTACGATGGATATGACCTTTCTTCTTCTTTTCAATTCTGTATATTTGTTTTTGTTTTCTCTCATGTTGTATGTCTTCTTCGTGCCAATCAGTGGTCCACGTGAAGATGCAACTCGTATTGGATCTGCTGGAGTTGTTAGGCGTCAGGCTGTGGATATCTCGCCTTTGAGGCGTGTGAATCAGGCTATCTATCTCCTCACAACTGGGGCTCGTGAGTCTGCTTTCAGGAACGTCAAAACTATTGCCGAGTGTTTGGCTGATGAGCTTATTAATGCTGCCAAAGGTTCCTCGAACAGGTACTGCGCTTATTTGCCTATTACATGTTATTTTCTCCAAAGTTTTTTTTTATTGTCTCTTTATTTTCCATGAGTTACGCAGTCTGATTTTATTCCTTTCCCTTGATTCTTTGTTTCTTCGCTGATGATTGGTGGTGTTTTATGTGCAGTTATGCAATCAAGAAGAAGGATGAGATTGAAAGAGTTGCCAAGGCCAACCGTTAAGAGGCTGCAAGAAAAATTTATGCAGGGAAGAAAATTTTGTATGCGTTTTTGTTATTTACGCATTATTTAGAATTTGTCGGGTATGCCCTTGAATGCGAGACATGTCTGTCCTTTCATGTTGCGAAAACTAGGTAATATAAAAGAGGAGCACTTCAAATGTTAATGAAGATAGGCATTGAGGATTTGTTTACTTATGGTTGGAGGTTGATGCAAATGATTTAACACTTTATATTTCAGCTTGGCTTTGGATGTTTCACAGAACATTTGCTTATTATCAACATATATTTGCATCATTCATCGCTAACTAGGCTCGCCTTACGCACGCGTGCTAATGTGAGTGTATAGGCTTTTTATGTTGTGCGTATTTTGATTGCGGTGAATGTTTCTTATCCAACTGCATCATCTCTGTCTAACTAGTACTACGGAGTAGTAATACTTGTTAGTGAGAAGTCTAAGGTTCGACTAACATGACTGACGAGAATGTATAATATTTTTGTTGAGATTGATATCTAGTGTTGACCCATTGTGTGACTTAGCACGATATGGTGGGAACTCAAATCCCCCACCAATTTTGTTGTGTTTCATAGGGGATTTTGAGCTTTTTCATTTCCTGATGAGCTTTTATCACTGGTTCAAGAAACTTGCAGTGTCTTAAGAATGGCTTCCAAGGTCAAAGGCCTATATGTAATCCTAGTTCTTTTTTTCTTCTTTGAACAAACGATAATCTACATTAGAGGGAGTGGGGCGGGTGAGTTTAGCCTCACAGTGGGCTAACAATAATATGGTTCAAATTTGCCTTTGACGAGAATCGAAACAATAACATGAAAAAGTAAAGAAAAATATCACATGACCATGATACTAAGTGGCTGTAATCCTAATTCTTGGACATGGTGTTTAATGCAAATTGGGAAAGCGGGGAGAAACAATAACCTGAAAAATGGTTTCAGGTTATTTTTCTTGAGTGCTTACCACTTGCAAGCACTAAGAATGGACACGTATTTGACCATTTTGGATTTGATCCAAGAGTCATTGATCACTAATTTAAACCATCGGATCCAATTGTTATATACGTATTGTCACTGAGTGTCTACAAGTACTCAAGAAAAATCGCTCCAAGTTCCTAGCCTTTTGATATGTAGGGAAAAAAAGAAATCATCAATTATAAATGAAAGACTCATAATCCATAGATCACTAAAGACAGCATTACTGTCTTCAAACTTCCACAGTAATTTGATGACTGAAAGAACAAACAAACTACATTTGACCTTTAAAGATATCAATAAACGACTTTCTTGAGTAATCCCACGATGGTTCCATATTCACAGCAATATGCAACTTAAACCTTTCAAGACCATATGAACACAATGCATCGGCATCACAAGTACGTCGTTAAACTCCAACCGAAACTTCATGGGGCATGATCTCGGGGATAGGTGCACCGAGGACTGGTTCTTTGATCTGGCGATCACTCGCTTCAGGCTCTATCTCATCTTTGAATTTGGAAAGATGCCCTGATTGGTCCTGAGCTTCTTCAGTTTTTCCAGTGCACGCTTTCTGGTCGTGTGTTTCTTCTTCGGTACACTTTGCTTCGGTTTTGGTAGCAGCAGTTTCCTGAGAATGAAGCCTAGTTTGAGACTTTTTAACTGGCTTCTTTGGATCTATGACGTCCTTTTCGCTTTTAGTCTTTAATCCTTTCTTTGAATTATTCAGTTCTCGATTCAGACGTGGGCTAAGAGACACCCCAGCAACTTCTGAAGAATTGTTTAGTGAAGAAATGGAGCTCTTGTTCCTTCCAAGCTTCGGAGATTTTGGCCGTGTGGTTGGAATCTGAATTGATTGGTGGAGAAGAGTCACACACAATGTTGCTACACAAAAGTAAACATGAAGCAGAGATGGGAGAAGAGTCTAAGACTTACCTTCTTGAGTTCAACTTTCGGAGGAGGCTCTTTATAGAAACTTGGCATGGGCGCTGCCTTAAATGTCAGGCTCTTCCTTAGTCGCTTGATCTCTGCTTCCTGACTTTCCTGCAGAATAAATATACGGAAAATATAATGAATACGCTGAAACTGAATATATGAAACAGAAATTAGAAATAAACAAGTCAATACATGAACAACAAAGGTATAATCGTCAGAGTGCTGTAAACTAGTCTGCACACCTTTGATTTTGCTTGTGAGTTATTTTTTTCTTCTTCCTTAGCCTGTGTCTTCTCTTCTAGCTTTGTAAAAAACTGATGAACGATGAATAAGGTTCGTTAGTGATACGAACTGAAAACTTTATCATGGTAGTTGAGCAGGAGATCCCGCATCCAAAATGCCCGCAATTGGATCCTCCCAATAAGTTGAATTCCATATATTGGGAGGATGCAATTGCAGCACTCTAATGGTGGATTGAGACCCACGAGGGAGTGTTTTCGAACAATTTCTGGCTCGCATCCTGATATTTCAAGCTTTTGAAAATAGTGGTAACTTGATCAGAAACTAGAGGTATGTTTTACCAACCTCCTTCCGTTTTTCAGCACGTTCTTCCAACCTGAAGGAAAACCCAGAAGCGCTGATCCTCCGGCCACTAGGTGTAGTACTTTTGATATAATACAGAATTCATGTAAGTATCAGTACAACAAATAAATAATTCAGATACTGGCAGTAAAGACTAAGAGATGAGAAGCAATAGTGCTCTAGGATATGAGGCATACGAAGCAACGGAGTGAGCATCATCATCCTCTTTGATTGGCAGAGTTGTTTTTACAGCATTTAAACTTTGATCAACTGATCTGTTATCACACAAAACATCATAAAATGACTACTCAATATCATTAAGCAGAATTAACTTTCAGTGGAGTAATTTTTTCCTATGCACAGAATCCACATAAGTAAACACTACAACGATCTGTAATGTTTGAACCAAAAATATAAAGGTTAAGTAAACTCGTGTACTGAATTGAGGTTGTAACCTACCGGATCACATCAGATGGGCTATTGGCGGATGTATCCACAGAACCAGACTTGCCAGGCTGATGCAATTAAGAGCGGGCATTAGCTACATTTAAGAAAGATAATAAGAGGAGTAAAATACAGAAGCAAAAACTTGAAAATGTCTTACTGGAGAGGATCTAATGCTGGGTATTGATGCTAAAGAAGTCCTCTTAATGGAAGCTCCACCAGTGGAGTTCCCATCCTTTGAATGAACTCCTGTGGATGCACGCCTAGTTGGATTATTCAGACGAGAAACTGAAATGGGAGCCTCAGCCTTGGTTGCATTTCCTCGGGCGTGTTTAACTTCTGTTTTCACTGGGTACACATCAATGCTCTTCTTCATAGGATCTGTACGAGATCCTCTTGCTGGAAAAGAAAGACTCTGAGAAAGTGTTGCCCTCTCCTTATGCAGGAATGGAGTTGCGCCTTTCACAATAGGTTTATCCTTGGCCGGTTTGCTCTTTGACAGACCATTGTTCGGAGCATGAGGATTCTGAAAAGACAATATAAAGTAGAAATGCGCATTGGTACATGTGTGTCATGAAATTGATAAGAGAACTAGTTCAAAACGACAAGGAATTCTGGCATGCAGTACCTTTGTAGTTTTTGAATTTTTACCAGGTGGAATGGCTGCAACCGCAACTTCAGAAGAGTTAATGCCTTCATCTTTTGTCACAGGTTCAGATATTCCCTTCACAGCAGGAACTTCTATATTACCATCAGCATTCTTGCCCTTTTTGCTCAAATCGGGTACTGATACATCTACATGTTTTTCCTCAATAACACAACTCTCATCCTCGAATGTAACCCCATTTTCAGACTCCATTTGTGAAATACTTCATGAAATGAAATGCAAAGTAAGCAAAGTCAAACAATAGTTCTACTATGAAAGAGATTAACATTTGGCTTAGGCCAGTAAAATCACACTACTAATAACAATATCGAACAATGACACAGAAAAATAGAGGGAAAAAAACACCAAAAAATCTTATCTTTAATACCATTTTGATTAACATGAATGATTCAACTTTATACCAGTAAGACATAACAAGGGTATGAAATAGCAATACTAAGACATCCAGAATTCTATATAGTTAGGCAGTCAACGTACATGAATGGTTGAGTATCCTATCCTCCCCAGAAGAACTCAATGTCATAACAATTTCTATCATTTTCCGGAGTGCCAAAATCACTTCCATAGTGTGTGGCAAAACTTTAAAAGTGCTTTCAATGAAAATAAAAGCACTTGCAAGCGAGAATCACTCAGAGCCTTTGATGAAACTTTTAAAATACAAAAATCTTCTACAAAAACACTCCCAAATGAACATCTTTTCAGGTTCTCGAAAGGTGAGAGTTTATTCTGCTACTTCCCAATGTGCCAAAGAACAAGATGAGGAGATACCCTCGAGACATTCATTTTTCTATTTGGCTGGCTTTACCCCTCCATCCAAAAGAGAAATGTAAAGCACAATTTGTAGCACGACAAACTACAAACCAAAAACACCATGAAATTTTATATGATGAAATGATTCTAACATAGCCAACTGGGAAAGAATTCCCATCATTTCAGTCATGAAACGCTTGATAATTCTGAGACCACAATGTATATCATTCTAACCCACAACACATAATCCTCAACATTCCAACAGTTCCGCGAAATTCGTTTAAAAAACAAACATCTGCACAGCAATAGAAGCTAACCATTTTACACTCAACACTCCATCACGTTTACAAAATCCCCATTCCCACCAAGCCTTTCATAGCAAACACGCGGCTCAGAAAACCAGTCTAACCAAATAAACAAATTGTATAATTAATCAACTAAGATTGTCACTAGAGTGTTTTTCACGAATTAAGAATTAAAAACAACACTCTGAGGCTCATGGATTTAGTTCTTGTGCACTAACATTTTTATCAAATCATCAATATATGCAAAGTTATCAAAAATACCAAGAACAGGGTAAGCAACAAAAACAAAGAAAACGCAGAAACCCAACAAAATAAGCAATTCAAAGGTTAAGAATTTAAGGTACAATCACTAAAGATCACAGAAAATAAGAACTTACAGAGATTACCAGGCAGTTCCCGAACTTGGGTTTTTGAATTTGGGATTAAACGACTTAAATAAGCACTTGAAAGAGTGATTGATAGCGAGACCAAAGAGCAATGGAAGCAAAATTCTACGACTGAATTATGATAGAGGAGGATAGGAACAGAGCAAAGCAGAGAGTATAGGAATATATTGATTGTGCTTTTGGATTAGAAGCACTTTGTGATGGTTAAGTGCTTCTGATGGTTGGAACTTGAAAGCTATGGAGGGAGTTGGTGACGCACGCTCTGGTTTGGTTCGAGAAATCCGAGAGAGGGAGGGGAGAGAGAGAGAGGGAGAGGACTGTCAAAGAAGCGGATGGAGATAGGAAATAGTAGCAAAATGACTAAACTGCCACTATGGAAGTTACTGGCAAGTTTTTGAATTCTGTAGGAAAGGGGTCTTTCACCTGTTTGGTATGTGAAGAAGTTGGAAGGCATCAAGAGTTATTCTTGTTAAGGTAAGAAAATCCACATTAGGATGTTTCTCTCCTATCTAATGAGATATTTTTTAGTGTGTTGAGAATACGATCCGATTGTTTAAGTGTCCAACTAATTGTATTATGACACTTGGTGTTACCGGATCGTTTTTCCGGTACACTGACTCTCTAATGAGGTTATGGCAAATAAATTGTGGATTTTTTTTTTTGCAAAATTTTAAGGATTTTTTTTTTCCATTTATGGAAAAGTAGTCTTGAGTTTTGGAGGGAAAATTTGATTTCTAAAGAGGAAAAAGTTTATGACCGTTGAATCGGTTAGAAACAACGAGAATTTACGTATATGCAAGTGAGATGTTATTCATGATACTTGGCTAGACGAAAATATATTTTTCAGGTGAAAAGACATCGATTTGACTTATGAGTATAAGTGACCTTATTTATCCTCAATTATTGAAATTTTTATTTTTATTTTTTTGAACAAATGATATTTTTTATACTATAGGGGTGAGAGAGTGAATTAAGTCTCACAATGAGCTAATAATAATATAATTCAAATTCCCCTTTGGTGCGAATCAAATATAAGACATCTCACTTACAAGTGAAAAAATACTACCAAACTGTAATACTAAATGGTCTGGAATTTTCATTTTTAATAAAAGGAAATGCATACGATTGAAAAAGATATGTTCCAACTGAATAAGGGACCCACCATTAAACTAATAAGAAATAAATTTGACTCTTAATCATAAGGATTTCAAATCTAATTAGCACATAACATTTTTGTTGGAAATATTTTTTATGTCAAATATGCACAATGACACCTCATTTGGAAGGATATTGTCAATTTCGATTAGGCTAGTACTATTGCCTACACCATCCAATATTGTAAAATTTCCCAATCTTGTGATTTTCCTCACCAAGAAAGACGATGGCACTCTAGATTGTGACGAGTTATGATGTTGTTAGCTACTAAAACTATATTCGGTAGATAAGAGTCGAATATTTTGAGGATTTCCGGTTGCTGTTATTGAAAACTTGGAAACATGATAGACTTCTATTCAACTAGGTTGGTAGTTACTAAACTAGAAATTCTTGGTGGACGACTAGTATTCTTCAAAAACCAACCGAATTTTGCAAGAATTTTGGTTTGTTCACTATTTGAATCTAGACAAGAAGCTAGAAATTTCTCCTAGTGGGGGCAATCCGGAAAACAACTAAGAAGACCTTATTATAAAATGGCTTATACCCAATATGATAATAGGGGTAATTTCAAATGATGATGTATCACAATCTCAATGTTACAAAAATTTCAGACTAGTAGTGGAAAGTGGCAAAGTGATGAGAAAAATATTACTATAGATAGGTGGTGGAGAGAGGTTTGTCAGTTTGAATGATAGAACAAGAGCACTTTTGCTCATATAATATTTGATATGGAGTGAAGTAGTATGAAGATATGTTGGATATTAGATATTATATTTACTTCAAAGATAACGCGTGTATATTTTATAACTGTAGTCTGCAATTTTAAAAAATAAATTACTTGAGTGTGGGCATCTACCCCCAGTGAACCTTCATTGATTCCATCCTTGATTGAATCGTTACATAATCTTTGGTTTCCAATCATTTCGGTTTAGTTACGTACCACACAAGTTGGGTGCGCGATCGTTGAACATATTTCTAAAATCTTGAGTCGTCGATTCAGTTGAACTGACATAAATTATGGAAAATGTGTCAAAACTTAAAAGTATGAGTCTTGAGAATTCAAACCCTAAACTTCCTACATTGAGTCGCCAGTTCAGTTTTGGTTTGGACATACAGTTCTGGAACTAGTACAGCGAAATTAAAGAATCAATAGTATAACAATTTGTCACTTCCAGGGTAGTAAAGTGTCAATTTCTAAAAAACATGAACCAAATTACAAGGGCGCCTTTATAGTTTGTCCTAAACTACAAGGGTACAAAATATAATTTATCAATAATTAAAAGCCTAATTAAAATGTTACATGATTGTGTAGACTATCCTCGCCATGACCCAAATCTTCCACACTTTACAAGGACGATCAAGACCATTACTCAATTAATTTGATTAATTAATCAGGGAAATTTCTTATTTCATTGTCAATCTCCTTCAATTAGTGGGTGTGATAGATAATCTGATGAATATATATTAATATTAACAAAAAAATTAATTAATTACTATCCACTAAGTGGAGATTAATCAAACATAGCATGGGATGACCTAGTAGTGAGGATGAATTCCAGACCCGTATTGCACACAACACGTCATCTGTTCGATTTCTGAAGTTGGTGAATCTCACGATGGCCCTTAAAGGAAGGCTGAGATGCCTCTCTAAGTCTTTCCAATCTCTGAAAATATGGACTACCGTAGTGAAATCACTAACTGAATTTTTTTTTTAATAAAAAAAAATTTAGCAACCAAAAACAAGCAAAAGGGTAAAATGGTCAGGCAGCATAATCCGATGGAATAAACTGTAAGGGGCAAAATGGTCAAACAACAAGTTAACAAATGATCGAAAACAGCCGGAGGAGGTTACTGTTGGAGAACGTTTGGGACTGTGTTTTTATTGGGTGTGGGGTTCACAGGTGGTGTTGCTGTCTTTCCCGCTGACGTGGTGAGACCGCGCAACATGATTGGTCTCACGCTAGGCCAACCTGGACACCCCACCACGTCCACCAACCGCGCGTGAGCTGTAACGACGTGCGTGAGAGATGGCCATCCTACGGTTGCTTTGAACTCACCAGACAATCTCAGCCGTCCATTTGGGATTTTGCAGGTGGTGCATTGCATTCAACGGCTAGGCTGGATTCTCAAGTGTACTCTTCATTTGTGATTTGGCACTTTGCCCTCTTGGCCCTCAATGCCATTCTTTCATGCAATTCCATTATTGACAATTTATTAGTTTTAATTTTTAATTAAAAGGGACCTTATTTTATAATTCACTTGTAAATAAGGGGTTTTATGTTCGATTCTTATCAATGATGAATTTAAACCACTTTATTGCTAACTCATTGTGAGAATTAGTTAACTCCCACATCCTCTTAGTGTAGATAATATCGTTTGTTAAAACCATAAAAAATAAAAAAATAAAAAAAAATAAAAAAAACTACTTCACCATAGCAAACTGAAGGTAGCATCGCTTTAATTATTATTTGGTTTAGTGACATTTGTCTTAACTTAGCTAAAAGAAAATACTATTACAATTGATACTGATCGAATACGACAAATGTTTAAATATCGATATAAGTGGACATAACAATACACAAATTTATGAAAATATCGATGCATATATCGATTGTCTTCGATAGAAATTTGCAATGGTATGGGTATATCAATTGATTCAAATTTAGTCAAAATTAGAGAAAAAAATTCTCAACAAAAATATCATCCCAATATTCATTGATTTTCCTATATCTCGTCGACAGTGGGTGAAGTTTGCATTTCAACCCCCATTTTCATATCGATCATTGATTTTTTGGATGTTACAACGGAAATATCGACAATTTCATAAATATTGTAAACACTGAGTACGACTATCAAACACCCTTCCAACATTTGACATCTCTCAAATCTCCCCTAACAATAAAATCAGTTCCTTTTGATCGTGTTCATAATTTAATTAATCAAATAAGCATCAATTTTTTAGAAAGGAAAATATTTGACTTCTATCAAAGAATTTGTCATTCCACATTATAAATAGATCACATTTTGACACGCGATCATAATTTTTTATTTCTTATTTTTAATGAGTTATTTTCCATCTCTGTTTCATAATTCATAAGTTATAAGGAACCAACCATTGTTAAGTTTTACTAAAATGGTTTGATGAGGGTGCATCCAATTTTTTTTCGGTAACATAAAGTTTAGGGGGAGATCGGTCACGTTCACCACCAACACTAGAGTATACTCACAATCTCAAGTGCATCCAATTTAAAAACGCCAAGGTTGGTAAGGAAAGAAAAGAAAAAGTGAAGGAACAAGATTACTCCCTCTAAACTTTTTTGGTGAGATAAAATCATGGTCACAAAAAATCTTTCAAAAATCCAAAATAATTTTAAGCTTATAAAAGAAAAGGTATGCCAACATGTAAAATCTCAAGGAAAAACAAACAAGAAGAAGAAACCAAAACAAAACAAAACAAAACAAAAAGAGGACCAAAAAAATTTCACAAGGATGGCCCCGGGGGCCAAAAATTGACTCATCATTGGCCTTTGCCTCATAATTTAAAGTTCATTAGTTGTTTGTAGTCTAAACTGCAAGTTTTCTACGACTTTATGTATTGGCTCCCAGCCCCCGGGGCCACTACAACATCGACATCCCCTTTGCATCCCAAAGCATCATTTTCTCCTATAGCCAAGCCATGTATTATGTGAGGCATTATCGTTCATATTTGTAAGGATACTTACATTTTAAGCCCTCGATTATTTCTTCCTCATCTTTGTTTTTTCGGTCTTAAATTGAGAACACTTATCAACTAGATTTTGATCTACTGATATTTATCTTTCTAATGTTGAAAGAGGTTCCAAGTTGAAATTAATAAAAAAAAATCTTAACAGTATTTCTATTCTATATATCAAACTTGTAACCTATCTTAAATCTAATCTCATCGTCACCACCCTGGTTAGATTCAAAGAATTCATGTCGACTACTTTTCGGAAATGGAAGTGTACATATATGGTGATCTATACAAAGACTCTTTGTGCAAAATTAATCAATAAGTTGAATGCCCCACTTTGGTATATGTCTTATATCTTGAATGCCCCACTTTGGTATATGTCTTATATCTTGAATGCCCCGCTTAAACAATCCCATAATTTCCGCAAACGCTATATCATTTGCTCTAAAAATA